GCGAAGTCAGGCGCAGCGTCAGCAGGGTCGAGGTTCTCGGGCGTTTTCGTTGGTTGTCGGCGGATTTCCAGCCTCGGGGTGCTCTCCAGCAGCTGCGCCTCGCCGAGAGCGTTCCAGGGGGGGGGGCCCGGATCGGCCCGAACGGCCGCTGGAGAGCCGAGCCATGACTCGAAAGCCAAGGGTCAACGACATGGGGGGCACGCTCAGGGGACGCATGGACCCCCAGTCGCCCACTTGTCGCTGACATTGCAGGACCCCGGCAGCCCTACCTCGCGCAGGACCGTGTTTCACGATCGGGGGCATATCGCGGGCCTGTCGGCGATGCATCGCCGATTCCAGCTCGCCTTTTTTCCCCCCCTGCGCCCGCCCCCCCCCCAAGCGTTTCCGGGGATCGCGCCGGTCTCGGGCACGTCTGGGCTTCTCTATGCTTTTCTTGGAGGGGCCAGAGTTGTCCGCGGAGGAGGTAGAGGCAGAGGAGAGAAGACTTGCAGGGAGGAGAGAGGGAGAGGAGGAAGAAAGGAAGCATTTTCACATATGTGCACTGTTACGAAGTTGCAGTGTACATCATTCAAGCGTGTGTGCACCGCTGTCCCTACTCTCGCCCACCCCCGTCCGTCCGAGGAAGCGGGCTCGGAATCGAGCTTTGGGCACACCGGGCTCCCGACGTCTCCATCCCTGCGCTGGTCCCCCCCCCCCTTCGGCCGCGCGCAGAGGGGCGGGAATTAGGGGGAGGGGGGGCGGCTGCTCGGAAGCACCCTGGCTTCTCAGAAGACGCGGGCCTTGCCTGGAGACGTAAGGCTGGTGCCTTCCAAGAAGCAGCCTCCTTCTGAGAAGCCTTCCCCCGGCCCCCTTTGTGCGCGCCGCCAAGGCGTTCCCCCGCAGCGTTTTTGTTGTGCTCGGGGGGTCCGCGTGAGAGCCCACTCGCCGCCGCCACGGACGGGCGCTCGGGGATCTCGGGCCTTCTCCTCGCTGTGGAGGCCCAGAATTTCGGGACGATCGACACTCTAGGCTTCAGTCGAGCGTGTCCCTCGACAGGAGGGATATTCAAAAATAGTCGAAAATAGTCAGGCGACGATTGTTTGTGGATATTTTTTTAGTATTTTCAATGTTTGCCAAAGTCCCCCTGTAGGGGGACTGGCCCGACCTAATTCTAGGCCTCTTAGATGGGGTCTGAGTAGATGGGGTCGGAGGCTCGCGCCGCATCGCCGATGCATCGGCGATGCATCGGCGATGTGGGGCCCAATTTTCTCCCTGCTGACGCATCGCCGATGCATCGCTGACGTCGCCAGTGTATGGCCGACGCATCGCTGATTCGTAGGCGATGCATGGCCGATGTATCGGCGATGCGGCGAGATCCTCCGACCCCATCTACTCGGACCCCGTCTAGGAGGCCTCTAGACATGGGTACGGTCAAAATGGGTACAACCCCAACAGCATGTCCTGTTCATTTTGAACAGGGCTTGCTGTCGGTGTCGACGCAGACGTGGTCAATTCGAGACCGAAGGCCGCCAGCCCAACAGCGGCCGCTGTCGGTTTCGATCAACATGTGTAAAGTCACGACGCATGGTTTTTGGCCGCTTTCGGCCTCCAGGGCCCTCACCGGATCTGGGGCCGTAAGAAAGCTATTTGGGATGAAAGGTGGTCTGGGGGAAAGGGTCGGTATTTCCGGGGGCTCCATAAGGAAATCGAGACCTCGGGTGTCTGGGTCTTGCGATGGAGAAGCACGGCAGGTTAGGGTCATGACGGCCCTGGCGCTGGTTTCTGAAGCCACGTGGGTCGTTCAACCTTGAACGATCTGCGACTCTTCGATCGCCAGATCTCTTCGTATTGGCAGATTCTGGCCTTCAACCTCGATTGCACGCTGCGGGGTCGCCGGCGCGTCCTTTCTAAATTCATTTTCAATTTAAGTATGAGCCTCAGGCTTCATGCTATTTCACGTTGCCTCAACAAATCTATGTGTGTAGCGCTTGATGCGCTTTTCGTGTTGTGCTGATGCACTTTTCAACAGAAAGTGCGCAACGTGGTACTAGTTCGTTGGTGAACGTTTTTTTTTACACTCTTGGTGCATTTTCGCAACAAGTGCACCATTACATTAACGCGCGTTTAGTTGCTCCGTAGTGCTCACAGGGTGTACCACCACGATGGTGCAGGTCTAGTTCACTTTTGATGCACTTGCGCAAAAGGGCACCACTTCTGCGGTGCACTTGTTTCATACACACTGTTGGTACAGGTGCACCAAAAGTATACCACAACGGCTGTGCGCCTGTAGAGCTGCTCCACATAAAGTGCACCACTAGCCACCGGTGGTTGAAAGTATGTATTTTTTGAGTTCCATGTTCCAGTCTATTTTAGGCGCCTGCTTCAATGATCGAGTGGCTTCTCCTTTGCCGTCCTCTTCAGGGGGCGGGCGGAGACCCAATCTTTATTCCAACGCCTTCCTGCTTCATGTTTCTACCTACTTCTTCTGACCGATGGGTACGATTCTGTTACAGTGAGGGGGCACATGCGTACGCAGCTGAAGCTGGGTCCTGCTGTGCGGATTTTTGTAGGTTCTGCCGTCGCCGTCGCCCCGCGACCTGCTCGCGACCCGCCCTCGACCCGTCGGCCACGCACCTGCGACGCGTTTCGCGCTCACCTCATCCGCTTGAAATCGCGTGCCGTGCATCCTCCTCTTCCTCCTCCTCCTCCTCCTGTTCCGTCATCCTTATGTTCTTTCTTGTTTGTAGCTTGTCTTGAAACTTTTGGCTTGATGTAACGGTGCCTGTGGTTGCTGTGTTTTGTTGTTGTTGTTTGTTACAGTCTGCTGTAGTAGTCGCGTCTGGACAAACTTCAGGACCCGATTTCAGGCACGCAGCCAGGGTCTGAGTAAGGCTTTAATGCCGTTCGGTCCCTCAGCCTCACAATGGGGAGCAGCACCTGCAGCGGCAGCAATGGAGCATAATGACACGGTAGTATTTTGATTGAATATGCCAAATTAATTTTGCGATCCAATAAGGTGCAGATCGTTTGTTTGAAAGGAAAGCAACCAGTGCGCAAAACGTGCACCACCATATGGCCACCGAAACATGAACAAGTGCACAACCCAACACTCGCACCATTCAAATCTGACAGAACAGCACTGCACAACAACACGAACACGTGCACCGCTGAAAACGAGCAAGCAGCACCGATTGCCAAGCCTATTAGTAAACCCATTAATCAATGTGTAGGCTTGTAGTTTGTCAACGTTTCAGACCATATATAGCACTCAAGCGTATGAATATCATTTTTCGATTAAGCTTAACATTCGATCTGGCAGCAAGCCCATAGGTCGAACAGGAAGAGAGTGCTGTAAGTCACGACGGAAGGTCTCTTGCCATCTTCGGCCCCTGGGGGGCCACATATTTTGAGGCCTCCCAGGCACTGGGATCGGGTACATCGATGGGGGTGGGGGATCGCGCCGCATCGCCGATGCATCGGCGATGCGGTTTGATGTGGAGCCTGGTTTTCTCCACGCCGACGCCGCCGATACATCGCCAACGTCGCCGATGCAACGCCCGCGCATCGGCGATGCGTCGGCGACGTCGACGCGATCCTCCGACCCCATCTACTCGGACCCCATCCGGGAGGCGTCTGGTTTTTAGGTCTATGGCGGGATCCCGCACTGGGCCCCCCGGGCCTTCGAGAGGCGGCTGCTCGGACGGCGCCTCTGCGCACTCCCCAAGAACTGGTCCGGGCCTCCGAGGACCTCCACGTAGAGTTGAGTCGGGTCTGTCCCTCCACAGGGGGATTCTTTCAACATAGTTACAGCAAAATCGGTTGGGGACGATTTTTTGACTATTGTTGGGCATTTTCGGGCAACCTCGCCGAGGGTACCTTTGCATCCTCGCCTCCTCTGTCCATCCTTGACCACTTTCGCTGGCCGCGCCCCGCTCGAGAAGCTTCGGAATGGGCATCCAAGGCCCTTGTATCCTTATCCCGCATCCTTACTAAACGGGTTGACTGTAAACGTCGAGGGGGAAGCCGCAGGTGTCAGAAGTCTGCGGCAGGGTTGGACGTAAACGGTGGTTTGGCGATTTCGTGGGCCGTTTTCGATTCGATTTCGTTTTGCGTTCAAGGCGGATTGAAGACAAAACGAGGGATAACGGAAACAAAACGAAGACGAACAACACCATTCAGGTTCAGCCCTGATCTGGGGCCTCCGCACCCCGCGCGGGTCCCTCGGGGACGGGCCGCGCCGAGGGGTCGGCGGCGAGCCTCGTCGGGGGAGGGGGAGGAGGGGCGGAGGGGCCTCCTCGGGAGGGCTCGGGGGAGCCCCCCCTCCTCGAGGAGCCTCCTCGGGGAAGCCCCCCGCGAGCCCTCCCCGAGGATGGCACCGCGAAGGAGGCCTCCCCAAAAGGGGGCGCGCGGGGGCCTCCGAGAGAGAGGCCCCGCCCGCCGTCGCCTTGCGAGTCCCCCCCCCCCGTCGCTCGCTCGCCGCCGAGGGGGGGGGGGGGGGATAGGCTCCAACCAAAAGGGTGGACGCCGCGCCCCCCAGCGGCGCCCAGTGATTGCCGATGTGGGGGCCCGATGCCCGCTCCGCCCAGGGCCATGCTGCGGCTGCACGGATTGTCCGGGGCCCGTCGCTGGCGATGTCTCCTCCCTCGGCCCCCGACTCTTCGGCCACACACATAGAGCCGCTCAGAGAAGGCGGGGAAGCCCTGGGATGCACCGCACTACTGGGGGCTGGCGATTCGGGCGCACCCCACATCGAGGACGGGGCGCTCCCAACCTCTCGTGTGTCCCAGGGTTGGGCCCCAAAGGTTTGGTCCGTTTGGGAGCCTCGCGGAGCCTGGGATGGGGGTCTACGTATCCCTTGTCACATCGCCGATCTATCCCCCTCCCTCTCTCGCCCCCGCCCCCCTCCCTTCCACCCAGGACGAGGAGGGGGACGAGGAGGAGAAGGAGAACGACGAAAACGGCGACGACGACGACGGCGGCGACGACGACGACGACGACCCCTCCCCGATGTCTGCGCCGAAGAGGCGGGAGCGCGAGAACCAGTCGAAGGTGCTGGCCAGCAAGGTGGGCACCCCGGCGACGGGGCGGCGCGTCCCGTGCCTCCGCGGGGGCCGGGGATGGCGGGCTCGCGAGGAGCCTATGCGCAGCGCCGGATGTGTCGAGCGGTGGCGAGTCGTCCTGGCTTGCCTGGACAGTCGAAGTCGATGCCTTCCTCCCTCCTCCTCCTCCTCCTCCTCCTCCTCCTCCTCCTCCTCCTCCTCCTCCTCCTCCTCCCCTTGCTTGCCTCCTCCTCGGCCCCGCCGGGAGTTTTTTTTTTTTTTGGGGGGGGGGGGGCGCTTTTCCGCGGGGGCCTGGGGCGCCCCGCCCCTGTTCCCTTGTGTCCTTGCCTCTTCGCTCCGCCCTTGGCCAATGTCGATGGCCAGCCCCGCCCGAAGAGCCTCGGCAGGGGCGTGCAGGGGAGGTGGCTTGCATCCCTATCGCGCCTCCATGCTATCAAGTTTGACTGTCGGCCCAGCAGATGCTGTTCTAGGAAACGGATGCGGCTTGCACGGGATGTTGCCAGAGCATTTCTGGTCGAGGCCGTCTTGTTTAAATCCACCAGCCTTGCGTTCTAGGAACATTGTTTCGATGCTTCGAACATTCCTCTGTTCGAAGGACATGCCAGGGTAGGCCTATGGGAATGCCGGGACGGTGGGTCCCTGCTCAAATGGGAGAACAGACAGCGACACCACCACCACCGGGGGTGCCAGCTCCTGTCATGAGGTCCGGGATGCCTTCCCCTGGGCTCGGGACGGGGGACGTCTCGAGCGGGGAGGGGCGGACCACACCGCCAGCAAGAGGATCCCCCCCTCTCTCACCACCCCGGCTCCTCGCGCTTGTTGGAGGTGGTGGTGTCGCCTTTCCTTGACCGTGTGGATGTGAGTGCCCTCTCCTTGGCTCGGCGAGGCCAGCGCCAGAGAGTCTGGAGAGTATCTTTGGGCAGCCTGGGCCGTCTCGAGAATTTAAAACACGCACGAAGCCAAATGATGCACGGGAAACGGACGTCCGAGCGATGACAATGGCGTTCCGCGGGGCCCTCGGGGACACGCCCCCAGATCTATGTATGTATGTATGTATGTATGTATGTATGTATGTATGTATGTATGTATGCATGCATGTATGTATGTATGTATGTATGTATGTATGTATGTATGTATGTATGTATGTATGTATTCATGTATGTATGTATGTATGTATGTATGTATGTATGTATGCATGCATGCATGCATGCATGCATGCATGCATGTATGTATGTATGTATGTATGTATGTATGTATGTATGTATGTATGTATGTATGTTTGTATGTATGTATATATATATATGTATATAACTATGTATAGGACAACAGGCAACACCACACTCTTGCCAGCGCGTGCCTCGGGGCAGTGGGCTCTCGTCCCCGCTGGATCTACGGGGCGAGGCCTACAGTGCTCGGTATCGCGCGGACGTGCGAATTGTTTCCTCGGCGAGGGCCCTCGAGGAGCAGCTAGGATCATCTCACGAAATTCACACGCACGAGCTCCAAGCATTCACGGGGAATGGACGTCCGAGCGATGGCGAGAGTGGGATGCGCAAGAAGAAGCCACATGATTTTCCTCAGGGTACCCTGGGTTTCTTCGCTCTGCGGGCTGCGCGGTGACTTCCATCGGCCGTTGAGGAAGCTGCCGCGTTCAGGGTGCTCTGGGCTCCCCCCCGCGTGCATTTCGCGCGCGGGTTTTCAGGGCTCGGCTTCTTGCGAGGTGTCATTGCGGCCGCGTCCGCACTGTATGTCGCTAGATCTACGTGGTGCAGTCTGCATGGTGCAAGACACGGAATGACGTCTATCTTGTGCAAGGTTGTTGTGGGGGCACACCCCCAGATGTACGAACACAGTCTACCCGAGATCCGCACGCATTCTTTGGATCGGCGCTGGGCCCCCTCCCCTGGCCCGCGGGGCGCCCACCCAAGACATCCGCGCGGACCTCCGCAGGTTGACGCTCATGCTTCTTCATTTTGTTCCAGAGAGGGCCCCCCTCACGCATGCTGGCCAATTCGCTGCAATGGTGCCCCCGTTTCGTTCGCTTCTTCCGCCAGCGCGGACGACCCCTGCCTGGCCGCCGGCGAAACAAGTTATTCCAGAGAGGCCTTCTCAGAAGCCTCTGGGATCTTCTGTGAAGCCCCCGCCCCGCCTTCTTGGAGAGCCATTCTCCTTCCCCCCCCTGTGTGGGGCGTACCGTCGGCATTCTTCGGGGAGCGACGGCATTCCTGGGGCCTCTCCCGAGGGAGGTGGTTTGATCCGAGTTCCGAGCCGCATCCAGCTGGGGCGACGAGGGCGAAAACGAGGTAAGGGCATCCGTATCGCTTGTTCGATCCGAGACGGCATCAACATCTAGTCCTGCGACCGTCCTGGACCCAGCTCTGCATCTGTTTCGTGCCAGGCAGATGCTGAACGGCCCGGGGCCCGAAGCGGGCCCCTGGGGGCAGAAAGGCATCGGCCTTCGGACGTCGATCCTCGAAGGTCGTCAGGACTGGCATCTCTTCTCCCAAACAGCGCTTGCACTCAGGGGCTGTAAATGGTTTCTGGGGAACTGGACTTGTGTGCCGCTCTGGCGGCTATGTAGCCGCCCCGTCGCCGCCCCGTCGCCGCCTCGTCGCCGCCCGTGGTCTGGGGTGGTCTTCCGGTCTGGCGTCTATGTAGCCGCCGTCGCTTCCCCGTCGCCGCCGCGTTCCCGCTCGTCGTCTGGGCTGGTATGCCGCTCTGGCGGCCATGTAGCCGCCGTCGCATCCTCGTTGCCGCTGCGTCGCCGCCCCGTCGCCATCGAGATCGTTGGGGCCTCTCTGGCGCTCTGGTCGCCATGTCGCTCCCCGTTGCCGCCTAGTCTTCGCAGCACAGATTGCACCACATTGACTGCGTCACATCGATAGCACCACATTAGGTTACATAACGTATATTGCACCACACGTAATGTACCACGTGGATCGCACCACATGTGTTATTCCCCACATGCTTCGTGGGGTTCTGGTTTTCTTCCCTGCCGCGCCGCACCCGCGTCTCCTCACACCTCCCCTCCTCTCTCTTTCTTCCTCCCCTCACTCACACGCACACACACATACACTTCACTCTTCCACCCCTCGTCACAGCACTGCTCAGCTCAGCTCAACTCAGCTCAGCACAGCACAGCACAGCTCAGCTCAGCTCAGCACAGCACAGCTCGGCCCAGCTCAGCACAGCTCAGCACAGCCCAGCACGGCTCAGCTCAGCACAGCACAGCACAGCTCGTGGCACTTTCTCGACACCACAGGGGGTGCGCAGGGGTTGGTCTCTCAGCTCGGCCGCTATCCACGACACTGGCGCAAAGCCTGGCAGGCGTGGCACTCTCTCGACACCAAAGGGGGTGCGCAGGGGGTGGTCTCTCAGCTCGGCCGCTATCCACGACACTGGCGCAAAGCTTAGCAGGCGTGGCACTTTCTCGACACCACAGGGGGTGCGCAGGGGGTGGTCTCTCAGCTCGGCCGCTATCCACGACACTGGCGCAAAGCCTAGCAGGCGTGGCACTTTCTCGACACCACACGGGGTGCGCGGGGGGTGGTCTCTCAGCTCGGCCGCTATCCACGACACTGGCGCAAAGCCTAGCAGACGTGGCACTTTCTCGACACCACAGGGGGTGGGCAGGGGGTGGTCTCTCAGCTCGGCCGCTATCCACGACAATGGCGCAAAGGCTAGCAGGCGTGGCACTTTCTCGACACCACAGGGGGTGCGGAGGGGGTGGTCTCTCAGCTCGGCCGCTATCGCACGACACGCGGCAAAGCCGAGCAAGCGTTGCTCTTTCTCGACGACCACAGGGGTGCGCAGGGTGTGGTCCTCTTCAGCTTCGGCCCCTATCCAACACACTGCGCAAAGCCTAGCAAGCGTTGCACTTCTCGACACCACAGGGGGTGGCGCAGGGAGGGGGTGTCCTCTCAGCTCGGCCGCTATCCACGACATTGTCGCAAAGCCTAGTAGGCGTTGGGCTCTTTCTCGACACCACAGGGGGGTGCGCAGGGGTGGTCTTCAGCCTCGGCCGCTATCCACGACACTGTCGCAAAGCCTAGCAGGCGTGGCAGTTTCACGACACCGTAGGGGGTGCGGAGGGGGTGGTCCCTGAGCTCGCCCGCTATCCACGACATTGTCGCAAAGCCTAGCAGGCGTGGCACTTTCACGACACCAGAGGGGGTGCGCAGGGGGTGGTCCCTGAGCTGGCCCGCTGTCCACGACACTGTCGCAAAGCCTAGCAGGCGTGGCACTTTCTCGACACCAGAGGGGGTTCGCAGGGGGTGGTCCCTGAGCTCGCCCGCTATCCACGACACTGCGCAAACCTATCAAGTGGCACTTCCGTCGTGACGTCCGACAGCGTCGTGGCGCGGGGGGGTGGGAGGAGCCTTCTGTCGGCAGAGCGTCGGAGGGGCGCTAACTCGCGCGGGGACGGACTGAGCTGACACAAGACTACAGACGGAGGCACGGATGCGAGCGAAAGCTGCTCGTCAGACTAAGCGACCGTGGGGGGTATGCCTGACGAAAGAGGGCCGCTGACTCGTCTTACCCACTAGATACAAGGATCGCTATCCACGACACTGTCGCAAAACCTAGCAGGCGTGGCACTTTCTCGACACCACAGGGTGGTCTGGTCTGGCTGATCTGGCTGGTCTGGCTGATCTGGCTGGTCTGGTCAGTCTGGCTCGTCAGGATGGCGAAGCGGGATGTGATATGGTTTGTGAACACACGTGACATAAAGTAAGTATGTAGGGGTCTTCGGTAGCGTAATTTTTTTGTTGTTGTGTTTTGTTTCCAACTTACCACGCGCCAGGGGTCGGTTTCCCCCCGACGAATGGTCCAGGCCTACAGCCTGGCCTGCATCACTGTGAATGTTCAGGTCCACGAGGCCCGCAAGAAGCTATCCTGGGGTCCGTCCCCGTTAGATGCTCGCGCGGCGTCCAGCCTTGGCGGCGAAGACGCCCAGAAACGCCCGACAACCTCCGAAACGAAGACGCCGTCGTCGTCGTCGTCGTCGTCGTCGTCGTCGTCGTCGTCGTCGTCGTCGTCGTCGCCGTCGTCGTTGTTGTCGGGTTCGGTATGTGTTTCCCACTCTCGCGAGGGCCGGGGGATGAACCTCTACGTCAAGAATCTGGGCGAGACCACCGATGACGCGGCGCTGCTTGCGCTCTTCGAGCCCTTCGGCTCTGTCACCTCGGCGCACGCCCCGAGGGACGAGCGAGGGCGTGCCAAGGCGGGCCTCATCCTCGTCCTCGTCTCTGCGGCCCCCTCCACCGGGGTTAAGTCGGACATGTCCCTTTACAGGAGGACGATCCCAAAATAGTCAACACAAATAATATGCGGACGATCACGATCTTTCTTGCTATTCAACACTACTTTCGAGCTCTTGTACCATTTTCCAGTTTTCGCCGAAAGTCCGCCTGTAGGAGGACATGCCCGACCTAACACTGGGGTCCGGGTAGACGGGCTCGCAAGTTCGCGCCGCAGCGCCGATGCATCGGCGGTGCGGCTCGACTTGGAGCCTGATTTTCTCCATGCCGATGCATCGCCGTTCTCGAGGATGCATCGCCGAGGCATCGCCGATGCCGACCTCGGATTCCGATCCAGGTATACTGGTCTCTCGAGACAGGCCTCACCAGCCTGCCGGGTTCCACCGATCCGACTGCTCCCGACCTGGCTGCCGAGTTCCGCCGATCCGCTTCGTGTCGATCGCCCATCCGACTCATCGATTCGATCCTCCGGGCCCAAGGGACGGGGGTCAATGCAAAGGGGGTCAGCCAGGGCACCGGACCCTGCAGGAGCCTGCAGGGACAGGGTCGCACTGACCTGGGTCTGGGTGCAGGATCCTGCAGGATCCTGCGGGATCCTCCGCACTGACCCCGGGTCTGGGTGCAGGATCTTGCAGGATGCTGCCAAGCCTGACCGACCCGGGACTGGCTTGACCCGGGTCAGAAGATCCCCGAGCTCCTGGGGCAACGGGCCTCTGCGTCGCAGCGGGGCTCGAGCGAGGAGGAGAGGAGGGCCACGGCAGCTCTGCGCCGCGTGAGACGCGGCGGCGACCCCACAGCGCGGGCGCCTCCAGGGCGGAGGCGCCGCCAGAGGCCCAGGAAATCGGCCGCCGTCGAGCAAATCTGCGCCGCCAGAGAGCCACGACCGTTCAGAGCTGCACGGTCCACGCGCGGCGGCAGAAGGCAATGCCCGCGGCGTCGCGGCGCGAAGCGGCCGTGCAGTCAGCCCGCGCAAGGTCAGGAGATGAGCAGCTTTCCGACGCTGCCCTCGCATCCTGCCCCCGTCGGCCCATCCTTGGCCGCTCGCGCAGGCCGCGCCCCGCTCGCAGAGGGTCGGCATGGCGGCATGGCCTTCCAGGGCACTGGCGTCCTTGGCATCGTGCGTCCTTGCAGTGGAAGCCCATGCCAAGAAGCACCCTGCTTGCCTCCAGGGTGCACTTGGTTTTTGGGGTTCTCATGGTTTTCCTGTGGGAAGCGTGACGTGCCCGCACCAAAAACCAGTGGACGCCCTGGGGCCTCAAGGTTGGGTTTCTTGTGGAAGGTTTCTTGTGGTCTGGCTCCCACTGCATGCAAGGGTTACGTCGGGCCTGTACCTCTTCAGGAGGGATGCTCAAACATAGTCAAAAAACATACTCGGGGGACGATTTCTTGTAGAAGACGGCGTTTCGGCAACAGGAGTGTAGACTAACATCTGAAGTTTGGATCTATCCAACACGCCAGGGTGCTCCATTTCAACTTCTCTCTCTCTCTCCCACTTTTGTTGGCCATTCTGGGGGTATTCGTTGACTATTTTCATTTTCGTCCAAAATCCGCCTGTAGGGGGGGCATGCCCGACCTGGTCCCAGGGGTTGTCTTCCGAATCTACTACAACGTTGCTGAGACTCGACAGCCTCTTCCACACGCCGACAGGGTGGGCGGATTGTTTGCTTTTCGTCCAAAAAATCCGCCTGTAGGGGGACATGCCCGACCTCATGCATAAGGGCTTGGCATCGCTCGGACGTGTGCACTTTTCCTCGGCGAGAACCATCGAGGACCATCCTGAAGCATCGAACAACAAAACACACGCACGACACCGAGCAAATGCACTGGAAATGGCCGTCCTAGCGACGGCAATAGGGGGGGTGCCCGTGCGCCTTCCGCCCCCCAGGATCGCACGTGGCGAGGAGGAGGAGGAGGAGGAGGAGGAGGAGAGAAGGAGGAGGAGGAGAGGAGGGAGGGAGGAGAGGGGGAGGGAGGAGGGGAGAGGAGGAGGGGGAGGAGGAAGGGGGGTGGAAGGAGGAGGAGGGGGAGGAAAGGAGGAGGGGAGGAGGAGGAGGGGAAGGAGGAGAGCCGAGACGCCCGCGGCTTGCAGCGTCGAGCGGGCAGCACCGCCCGCGGCCGACCGCGTGGGGGGAGCGCGCCGCGCGGGCAGGGGCGGCGGGCGGACGGGCTCTCCCGCTCCGTGCGGGGCTCCAGGGGGGGCCCTCCACGGGCCCCAGGACGACCCCTCCGATCCTCCTCCTCCTCCCTCCCTCCTCCTCCTCCTCATCCTTTTCCTCCTCCTCCTCCTCCTCCTCATCCTTTTCCACCTCACCTCTCCTCCTCCTCCTCATCCTTTTTCCTTCGCCTCTCCTCCTCATCCTTTTCCTCCTCCTCCTCCTCCTCCTCCTCCTCATCCTTTTCCTCCTCCTCCTCCTCCTCGTCCTCCTCCTCCTCCTCCTCCTCCTCCGCCTCCTCCCTCCTCCTCCTGCGGGGACCCCATCCCGGGGCGAGGCGGTTGCTGGAGCGAGCGGGGGCGTGGAGCTACCTGGGTCGTTTCGGCGGCAGTGTGCAGGTGATGACTGCACAGTGATCGGGCGTTGCGCGCTGTATGGGCTCGTGCGGGTGCCAAGGGCGGCTCGTCTGTTCAAACGACGCGAAGATCGGGACAAAATCGGATCGGGATAACTCGAAATCTCTGAGAATCGGCGGGTTTGGAGGATGTATTGGGCGCCGCGGCCGCTCCAGAGCGTTCCAGAACGCTCTGAGAGCGCTCTGGAACGCTCTGGAGCGATTTATCCCGATCCTAGCCCTGTTTTATCTGTGGGCGTCGACGGCGGGCTTGTGGAACGTGCGAATGAAAAAAAAGCGAACCGCGTCGTGAAAACATAGCGACGGGAGGTTTTTCGCCTTTGTCGGCCTCCTGGGGGCAGCGGGGCCGTCCACAGACGACTCAGGACGAAGAGCCGGCCCCGGGGCAGGGGTCCAGACCATTGGAGGTCGGCGTCGTGAAAAAATCACGGCGCCGGGGGCCTGGGATCCATCGATCCTCGATCCTCGATCCTCGTTGATTCTCCATCGATCCTGCAGCCTCCATCGGTCCTCGATCCTCTTTGATCCTCGAAGGCGACTCAGGGGTGGCGAGAGTTGGTCATGTGGGGTGTTCCCCCGGAGCCCCGGGCCCGTGGCCCGCAGGACCCGCGCCCTTCGTGCCACCATTCTTCGTCCTCTTCTGCCCGGATATAGGCCTCCCAGATGTCAGATGCTCGTTTTGGGGGACTTTCCTGGGGGCCCACCTAACGGGTCTGTTCGACCCCAGTTCGACTCAAGTTCGACTCAAGTTCGACTAAGGGTCGGCCCAGGTTCGACTCGGTGTCGATTCAAGTCGGCGGACGTTCGACGCAGCTTCGACGCAAGAGTGGAGCGAGTGTCTCTGGGATGGTCCCCAGAATGAGCGTCCAGCAGGTGGGCTCCAAGCAGATCGGGTTGGAGGATCGCCCCGCATCGCCGATGCAGCCGCCGATGCATCGGCGGTGCGGCTCGATGCGGAGCCCGATTGTGTTCCTCCCTCCGTTCCTTCCTCCCCTCCCTCCCTCTTGCCTCCGTACCTTCTTTCCTCGTTCTCCATCCTCCCGTCTCCCACCCTCTCTGCGCAGCATCATCCCATGGCGTGGCCCTCCCTCTCTCTCCTCGAGCTGTTCTGACGTCGGATCTTCCGGTTGCTGCCGAGGGATTCGGCTTCGTGACCTTCTCGAACTCCGAGGACGCAACCAAGGCCGTCACCAACATGCACCTCAAGGTCTGGGGATCGTTGTAGGCGTCGTCGAAAGATGAGACGGAGAAGGTCACTACTTACCAAACCACCCCAACCTAACCCGAAGGTCTCCGACTCCCTAAAATTTCGGGCTGGGGTGTACGGGTTCCATTGTGCGTTTCTCGATCTTGCAGAACGCCCGCCCCAACTGAAATTTGGCAGGCCCAAAGGCGAGTTCGGATTGGATTTGGGTGGCTAGGTAGTCAGAAGGAGCTGCACTGGTCAAGAATGTTGTTGTTGCAAGGGGTGCGATGGGACCGGGACCAGTCAAGCAGGGCATGTCGTATACGACGTTTTCCGGAAGAGGTGCCCATGCTTTGCAACACTCGCACCAATTGGTGAAATGACGGTTGTGGTATCATTTCAGTAGGGGCAAGCCCATGCACATTCACGTGAGTTTTTAGAAGGCGGAGGGTTGTGGATAAATGATGGCCGCTGTGCAGCGAGAGCCAGATGACGTATGGTGGCAGACCAATCATGCGTTTGCACAGTACGAACAGGCGGAAGCGAGAAACACTGGATTTGGTGCAGGGTGTAGCGTGGACGATTGGATGGTGCAAGTATTGGGTCTGCAGTGGTGGGTGATGCTGTCAAAACATGTTCAAGAACATGACAAGGCAGAGGGGCGGCGCAAATTCATGGTGGGCGTGTGCGGGGCGCTTCAGCGACCTAGGCCGCCGCAGTTCTTTGCGACACCACCAGATCCATATGGACACTTTGCATGCGAAGAGGATCCAGCGCCCGTTGGCCTCCTTCCAGTGCCTTGGGAGGGGTGAAGAAAGATGGATGGTGAAAGAGAAGCATGGGGAGGTGGGTGGATGGAACATGTAGTAGTAGTAGTAGTAGTAGTAAGTAGTAGAAGTAGTAGTAGTAGTAGTAGTAGTAGTAGTACTAGTAGTAGTAGTAATAGTAGTAGTAGTAAGTAGTAGTAAGTAGTAGTAGGTAAAGATTAATAGTAGTATTAAGTATTAGTAAGTAACAGTAGTATTAGTAGTAGTATATTAGTTAGTAGTATAGTAGTAAGTAGTATAATAGTAGTATAGTAATTAGGTTAAGTAGTAGTTGTAGTAATAGTAGTAGTAGTATATAGTAGTAGTAGTATAAGTAGTCAGTAGTAGATATGTAAGTATATAAATATAGTAGCAGTATAGTAGTAGTAGTGTAGCACCTACAGTAGTAGTAGTAGTAGTAGTTGTAGTAGTAAGTAGTAGTAGTTAGTAGTAGTCGTAGTAAGTTAGTAGTAGAGTAGTATGTAGTAGTCGTAGAAAGGTAGTATAGGTTAGAGTATGTGGTACACCTATGGTAGTGGTATGTAGTGGTAGTAGCAGTTGTGTGGTAGTGTTAGTGGTAGTGGTAGTGGTAGTGGTAGTGGTTGTGGTTGTGGTAGTGGTAGTGGTAGTAGTCGTAGTAGTAGTCGTAGTAGTAGTAGTAGTAGTAGTAGTAGTAGTAGTAGTAGTAGTAGTAGTAGTAGTAGTAGTAGTAGTAGTAGTAGTAGTAGTAGTAGTAGTATAGTAGTATAGTAGTAGTAGTAGTAGTAGTAGTAGTAGTAGTAGTAGTAGTAGTAGTAGTCGTAGTCGTAGTCGTATCGTAGTAGTGGTAGTGGTAGTAGCAGTTCTACGCTTAGTAGTAGTAGTAGTAGTAGTAGTAGTAGTAGTAGTAGTAGTAGTAGTAGTAGTAGTAGTAGTAGTAGTAGTAGTAGTAGTAGTAGTAGTAGTAGTAATAGTAGTATTAGTAGTAGTAGTAGTAGTAGTAGTAGTAGTAGTAGTAGTAGTAGTAGTAGTAGTAGTAGTAGTAGTAGTAGTAGTAGTAGTAGTCAGTAGTAGTAGTCAGAAGTAGTAGTAGTAGTAGTAGTAGTAGTAGTAGTAGTAGTAGTAGTAGTAGTAGTAGTAGTAGTAGTAGTAGTAGTAGTAGTAGTAGTAGTAGTAGTAGTAGTAGTAGTAGTAGGAGTAGTAGGAGGAGCAGCAGCAGTAGCAGCAGCAGCAGTAGCAGTAGCAGTAGCAGTAGTAGTAGTAGTAGTAGTAGTAGTAGTAGTAGTAGTAGTAGTAGTAGTAGTAGTAGTGAGAGGAGGAGGAGAAGGATGAGGAGGGGGGATGTGGGAGAAGGGGAAGGAGAAGGGGGGACGGACTGTGTATGGGAGGATGGGCTGAGAGAGGATAGATGAGGGACGGGGACGGGCAGGAGGGGGAGTGGTCGGGGGAAGAGGGGAAACGGGGGCAGGGGGGGAAGGGGGAGGGAGGAGGATGGCAGATGGAGAGGAGTTGACGTGGGAGGGGAGAGGAGGGGAAGAGGAGGGGGCTGAGGGGAAGGATGAGGGACGGAGCGAAAAGGGAAAGAGGGGGAGAAGAGGATGATAATGACGGGGGCGGGGGGTAAGAAGGATGAAGAGGGAAGGGGAGGAGCGGGGGTGAGGAAGGAGGGAGGCGGCAGCAGCATGAGCATCCAAAGGTCGCCATCGATCTTCGCCTTCCTCCTCGCTCCTCTCTTCTTCATCTTTCGCCGTTTCTCTCTCCGTCTTCCTCCTCGCCCCTCCCTGCTCCATGCCCTATCCTCCCTCCCACTACTTCCCTACTTGTGTGTCAATAAGAGATCGTTCCCTCCCTCCCTCCCTCTCTCTCTCTCTCTCTTTTCTCCCTCTCTCTCTCTCCCTTTATTTCTGTTTGTTGTTACTCTTTACTTTTCTGTTTTTCTGTTCTCTCTCTCCGTACCCTGCATATACATACACACATATATGTGTACATATAAATATGCATATCCATATGTACACATCTAAGCACATCTGATGGCCTTCGGCCCATCCCGCCACCGTGCCTGGGGTTTGGGTGTGAAGCCTAGTTGATGTTCGTTGGAATCTCGTGGGAGGCTTTTCGGGGGCCTCTTGGAGGCAGGTTGGACGCCTCTTGGGGGCCGTTGGTGACCTTCTTGGTGCCTCTTGTGGGCCGCGTGGGGGCCTCTTGGAGGCATCTCGGGGCCTCCTGGGGGCCTCTTGGGGCGGACTGCTCGGAGTTTCGATTCGTGTTCGCGCTTTTCGGCCCCTTTCGGTGCCGTCTTGGGGCCCTCTTGGGCCGTTTTGGGCGTTTCTTGGGTTGTTTTGGGGCTTTCTTTGGCAGTTTGGGGGCCTTCTTGAAGGTCTCTTGGGTCGTTTTGGGGGCCTCTAGGGTCGTTTGGGAGCGTCGGGAAGCCGAACCGGCGAGGACGCCCAAATCCTACAAACACCCAAGTCACATCAATGATGTTTGCCTCTTGGGGCCCTCTTGGGAGGCCTTTGGGAGGCCTCTTTGGGGGTCTTGGAGGCCTCTTGGGCCGTCTGGGGGCCATCTGGAGCTTCTTGGAGCGATCGTTCCGCCACTGTAGGCCCTCTTGGACCGCCTTGGGGGGCTTCTTGGGGCCCTCTTGGCCCGTCTTGGGGCCCTCTGGGGCCCGGAACATTCATGCGACAACGCTCGGGGGAGCTCAGGGGTCACGCGCCACGCCCCAGGAGATTGGTGCCGAGGGCTTCCGAACCCCTTACTAAACTCCTGAGGGGTGCGGGCTAACATTCGAGGGGTAGTGAGAGGACCTGAGGACACGCCCACTCCGTGCCGAGCGGCACGGTGGCGGATCTATTTGTGAAATCACAATGCACATACAAACATATACGGTAGGTTTGCGTCGTGTCGACCAGCGGCGACCCCAGCGCGGGCGTTCAAGGTTGAACGCCGCCGGCGACCCAGAATCGATCGATGTTGAACGATCGGACGTTGCGGCAGCGGCCGATCGTTCAAGGTTGAACGATCCCTGCGGTGTCAAAAACCAACGCTGGGGTCGGCACGACACGAACCTGCCGTATGTAATATCTCTATGTATCCGCAACCCTCCTCCTCGTCGTCCGCATCTCACCTCCTCTCCTCTCCTCTCCTCCCCTCTCCTCTCCTCTCCTCTCCTCTCCTCAGGTCTCTGTCCTTCCCCTTCTTCCTTCGTCTCCTCTCCGTCGCCTCTCCCCTCCTCCGCCCCATCTCCCTCGTTCCCCTCCGACTGGTTTCCAGCTTGCTGCTGCTGCTTCTCACACTTGTCCTAGAGGTGGTTTGGAGGCTGCAGTTGTACGAACACGGCACCACATGCCCATGCTTGCGTCCCACCCCCACCACCCGTCTCCTCCCCATGCACCTCTCACTCCTCCCTCCCTCCTCCCTCATACGTCCCGCCTCCTCCGTCGTCGCTCCGCCCCCATCGCGCGCGCGTGTTCCCGCGCGCGCGCTGCCGGGAGACCGTGCGCGAGAGGGGCGACAGGGAGGAGGAGGGAGGAGGGGAGAAGCGAGAGGAAGAGGGAGAAGGAGGGAGATGAGGAGGAGGAGGGCGCAGGGGAGGGATGGAGCAGGCGGGGGAGGAGGGGGAGGGGAGGGAGAGGGGAAGGGAACGGGGAGGAGGAGGAGGAAGAGCAGCAGCAGGAGCAGGAGCAGGAGGAGGAGCAGGAAGAGGAGGAGGAGGAGGAGGAGGAGGAGGAGGAGGAGGAGGAGGAGGAGGACGACGGGGGTGAAGGAGCGCGGGGGGGCCGCTCCCTCCTCCCGCCACCCTGCGCGCGCCTCCCCTCCCCCCGCCCTCGTCCTCGCGTCCCAGGTGGTGCACGGCAAGCCGCTGTACGTGAGCCTCGCGGACACCGCCGGGGGGGGGGGGTGAGTCGGGCACGCCGCGGCGCGCTGCTCCCGCGCTCCGTGGCTGCCCTCGGTCGACGGACACCGCCGGGGGGGGGGGGGCAGTCGAGCACGCCGCGGCGCGCTGCTCCCGCGCTCCTTGGCTGCCCTCGCTCGAGCATGCAACACACACACACACACACAAAGGAGCTCCGCGCAGATCTCTTGGATCCGTGCTGCCGCAGTGGTCGGTTTGGCCTGCGGCGGCTGCGCTGGCTGCAAGGCGGCCGCAGCCCACTCGCAAAGGCGCCTGCAGGCGGGTTGCACGCCCGCCCAGCTGCTCGGAGTCTCAGTGCGTCGCAGACCCAGCTTGGAGCAGCTGGGCGGACTTGCAACCCACTCGCAAGTGCCTGGCAAGTGGGCTACAACCACTTTGCAACTGTTGCAAGTCCACCTGGCGGCGCCTCCGGCGCCACCCCTGGCGCGCTCCGCGCGCCAGCGAGAGGGGTTCAGCACCGATCCAAGGAATCCGCGCGGTCCTCCGAATGTTCAGGGTTATGCAGCTTTTCGTTTCTTCTACTTCGGGCCTGGGCGTCGTGAAGAAAACACGGCGGAGCGCTTTCTGCCCCCGTTCCGGGCCCTGGAGACCTCCTCGGGCCGATCGGGCTCGAGAAAGGCACTGCTTCAGTGAGCCGGGGCCCGGCTCGGGGCGAGTGCTGCAGCGGTGCTTGCTGTGGGCCTTCTTCTCGTGATGGCCGCGGGGTGCTCCTGCGCCGAGGTGGCGACACAGTCTGCGGCCGCCGTGCTCTTGGCCGAGGCGCTCGGGGGGCCGTGTGCCAAGCATCGGGCTGGATGCATGCTTGGCGCCCCCCCGTCTCGAGAGGAGGAGGAGGAGGAGGAGGAGGAGGAGGAGGAGGAGGAGGAGGAGGCACAGATGGGCAGCAGCCTCGATTTGTTACCTGCCTCAGTCGTCGCATTGAGATGTTTTTTCGTTCGCCGAGCGCAAGAAGCCTGGCCTTGATGTCCGCCCAACGCAGAAACAAAAAAGGCAGCTGGAGCAGCATCCTCTAAGGAGCAGGGGTGCGTTACTCAGGATGGAAGACAACACGCAGACACAATGAATCGTCGATTCCCCAGAAACTATGGGACAATATGGGAAGTGGGGGGAAGCCAAAAACCCAGAGAATGTGTGAACATATGGAGGATCCTGCTATTTGTGTCTATTTATTTGTGTGTCCCAGGGCCCCTTCATTGACCGGGCTCCTCCCGCCTCTGGGCGGGGAAGGAGGAGGACGAGGAGGATGAGGACGAGCGGGAGCAGGCAGAGGAGCAGCAGCAGCGGCTTCTCGGGAGGAGGAGGGCGCACTTGGCGCCCCCCTGGAGGAGGAGGAGGAGGAGGAGGAGGAGGAGGAGGAGGAGGAGGAGGAGGAGGAGGAGGAGGAGGAGAGGAGGTGGAGAGGAGGAGAGGGTCGGCCCTCCGGAGGAGGAGGAAGGAGGAGGAGAAGGAGGAGGGGCTGGATGCATGCTTGGCGTCCCCCCGTCTCGAGAGGAGAGGAGTAGGAGGCGGAGGAGAGAGAGGAGGAGGAGGAGGAGGAGAGGAGGAGGAGATGGATGATGATGCTGATGATGATGATGATGATGAATGATGATGATGATGATGATGATGATGCTGATGATGATTGATGATGATGATGATGTGCTGCTGCAGCTGCTGCGCTGCTGGCTGGCTGCTGCTGAGAGGAGGAGGAGGATGGAGGAGGAGGGAGAGGAGGAGGAGAGAGGAGGGAGGAGGAGGAGGAGGAGGAGGAGGAGGAGGAGGGAGGAGGAGGAGGAGGGAGGAGGAGGAGGATATGGTCTGCATGTGAGTACTTCACAAGTCGCTAAGGACCTACGGGTGGACGCGACGGCCACCAGGCGTAGTGTTGCAACGCAGAAGAAGCGCCTGTCTTCGGCTGCGGGTCGCGCCAAGATGATCGCGCAAGTCGTCAAAGTCACCCCGAGGGCCCGCACGTTGGGGAGGTCGGGATTTCTGCCGCAGGCGACGTGGGGGCTAGAAGGTACAGGGATGGCCCCCTCGACGCTAATGCGTCTGAGAGCTCAGGTGGCGGCCCCCTCAGAGCTAATACGAAGGCGGCTGCTCCACCACAGCTATCACGTTGATGATGGGGTCCGGTCAGGACCCATTGATTGTTGGTAGGCTCCGTATTTCCCGCACGTGGTACGAGCTACTGCCGTCTGTGCTGCATTCTTTTTGGCGGTCGCTGGCACTTGCATGGGAAAACAAATGCCTGGCAGCAATTGTTGTCAGCAGAACGCCGCTGGAGCCATCTTAAGGGGCCAGTCCAAGCATCCATTGCTTGCCTGCAGGACATAGAATGGACGGCGCTAGAGCCATGGATTTGGATCTCGGCCAAACAGGAGAGTTTCGACCTGCATGGCTGTGATCCAGAAGTGCTGAATGGTTTTGAAGTGCGAGGTTCCCTGGGCGCCCAGATTTGGGGCAAGGCCGCTCAGCATCACCTCGGCAAGGGTCTCGAATTCAGTGTGCACTTCTCGGTGCCCTGTCGTCACATGAAAAGACTTGAGCGCTGGAATGAATAGGATCGTGCTGTGGTTTTGAGGATGATTTCGTCAGTCAGTTTATGGCCAGCAGCCCGCAGGTTCCAGCCGCCGCTGCCACCGCTTCTGTCTCTGTCCCGTCCCCGTCGGCCCCGCTGGCGGCCGTGAGCGCCCCAGGGACGCTGCGAGGCGCGCCGTTGGCAGGTGCTCACACAGACGAGATGGACTGGTCCGGGATCATGGACCTTGGGGCCAGGCAGGATGACCCCCACGCCCCCGAGGAGGAGGCCAGGGCCTGGACCACCCCCGCATGTCCGCCCTGCGGGGCCCCCTGGAGACGACTTTCCATCAGCTCTGGGGGTGCCCCCTTAATTCGGAGATTGAAGGCACGTTGGGTTGCTCGATGGAGCGACGACAGGGTGGTAAGAGTTTCCGTGTTTTTGGTTAAGGGGGCTACCGCCGCTTAGATGGACGAGCGGACCCACTCTACCCAATGTTCCAAGCGACCCTGTGTTCTCCCCCAGCCTCAGCCAGGGGCCAGTTGACCTGGAGGGGGGGGGCGGGGCGTCGTTGTGGGGACGGACGGGTCGGGGGGGCCGTACTCGGCGGAGCCCAGGCTGAGGCGGTGTGGATGGGGGCGTTCAATAATTATGGGGGGACGCTCAGTTGGGTTGGGGCCATGGGCCGCTGCTGGGATATAAGCAGACCGCCCCCCTGGCCGAATTAGAAGGAGTTGTTCAGGCTCTTGTTTCGCTAGCTGTCGATTCGGCGATCACGATCAGGATCGCTCGCTGTCGATTCGTCGGGCACGATCAGGATCTCCCACCGGGGTCGTGACTATGTACCCCCTGTGAATGTAGCGCACTGGCGCAGGTTCTGGGCGGAGGCTGGCGACAGACAAATTTCTATTCTGAAAGTCAAGAACCACACCCGACCTGCGCCTGAACGGGAGGATGACCCACTCGTGTTGCTCTGGCTTGCCAATGGGGCTGCCGACGCCGCCGCGGAGGAAGGAGCGCGGATGGCCCAAATCCCAGGCAATGCTGTCGCCGAGGCTTGCAGGATTGATGATTTAACTATGAAGGTGCAAGAGCACTCCGTAGCCGTCGCGCTCCACACAGCGTCGAGAGCACCAGAACTCTACGGCCCCAGCTCTAAGGCCGCACATGCGGCCGAGGCTAAGATACGCGGCAAGGAGCGGGCGCTTAGTGTTGAGGAGGCGAGGGCTGCGTCGGCCCATCGGGATGTCTCGCACCCGAGATGTGTCAGATGTGCTCTGTGCCTCACCCGACCGACAGCCGATTTGAACTCAACCGTGGTTCGCTACCCCTTGTCCCAGGGTCCCGCACGGCATAGCGCCCTCCAATCGGCTCGAGCGCTGAAAAGGGGGGTTTCTGGTGCCAGATGTGCGGGGCAACAGGGACGAGGGGGAAATGTGTCAAGCTGGGGGAAGGCTGCTGACGTGTGGGGTAGGCGGATGATTAAACACCTCAAGGAAGGGGAGCTTCCCCCAGGATTTATGAGCTGGCCTGAGCCAGATTGTTAAGTTTTGGTTTCGGCGTGCCCGCTCTTGGGACTTGCGCTGTGGGCCTGGATTTGGACGAGGAGGCAGCTTAGCCTGTGCGCTGCCCGCCAATCCGCCGCCCCCCTTGTGCAGGCCGGCTTCCTTGGCCAGCCTCGCGCCGCCCGGTGCTGCGCCTCGCCCCCTCGCCCGCAGGCGCAGTCACGCGAGGCCCCGCTGTGTTTGTGTAGTCGCGCCGGGCCTCGCTGCTCCCTGGGGGGCTGCCAACTTCGCAGCCGTCGTCACTTCCGCGGGCTCCTGGGATGTGCAGCGGAGGCGGCAGGCACGCGAGGCCTCGCGGCCCCCTGTGGAGGCGGTAGGCACGCGAGGCCTCGCGGCTTCCTGGGAGGCTCCAAATTGCGCAAGTGTCGCCACTTCCTCGGGCTCCTGGGATGTGCAGCGGTGTAGATTGTCACGCTGATCAAGGCGTTCATACAGACGGTTGGCTCGCGCGGAGGAAGGTTTAGGTACTTCTCGGCTAACTACTATATCTTGCGGCCCGCCTCCACCCCCTCACCACCGATACGAGAGGGGTGCGCCCTGATGCCCTTCCTACACGGCCCGCTTCTCGCAGGGTGCTGCAAGCTGGGCTCACGACCTGGGCCGGGGGTCACGTTTTGGATCAGCCGGATAGACGAGATGAGGAGGAGGGTGAGGAGGAGAACAAGGAGGAAAGGAGGACGAGGATAAGGAAGAGGACGATGATGAGGAGGGCGAGGAGGAAGAGGAAGAATACGAGGAGGAGAAGGAGGAGGAGGAGGAGGAACCTTGGCAGCCGTCTGGGTGTCTTCTGGAGGCCCTCTTCAGGTCCTCTTGGGGCTCTCTCGCGGCTCTCTTGGGGCCCTCATGTGCTGTTTTGGACGGTCTTGGGCTCCCCCAGGGGCTCATGTGGGGGCTCTTGGAGTCCTCTTGGGGGCCTTTCGAGAGCCTTGGCCTCTTGGGCGCCGTTCGACAGCCTTGGAGGGCCTCTTGGGGCCCTCTTGGAGGGCGTCGATCCAAAGAGGGGGGGGAGGCGAAGTGCATGCCCCCCCTCTGGGGCCGTGAGAATCGCATCTTGGAGCCCTCTCGGGGCGGCCTTGGGCGCTCTTGGGCGGTCTCGGAGGCCTCCTGGGCCCCTTTCGGGACTCCTGTCGGGCCGTCTTGACGCCCCAAAGCCGCATCGGACGAAGAAATGAGGGAAGGCAACAAGCACTGATTCCTTTTGGGCGTCCTAAGATGTTTGGCCTCTTGAGGGAGTCTTGGGGGTTCTCCGAGGGCAACTGGACCCGTCTTGTGGTCATCCTGGGGTCTCTTTGCGGGCATTTCGGATGCCATCTTGAACCAGCTTCGGCTATATTGAGCTGTCTTGGGAGGCATCTTGGAGCATCGGGGGCCCTTTTGGAGCCATCATGGGCCAAGAAGGACCCTCTAATACATCGCGAGGGGCTCAAACAACCTCTAACACATCGCGATGGGCCAAAACAACCTCCTGGGATGGTGCCCCTCCCCGAAAGGAAGAGGGATTTGGGAAGAAGAGGGACGATCATCGTCAGACCACCTCCGCCGCCCTGACGGCTGGCGGCATTACTGCAGGCTCTTTCCCGGCTCTTTCCCGGCTCTTTCCGGCTCTTTCCGACTCTTCCGGCTCTTTCCGACTCCGGCTCCGTTACCGTCTCCGAGTCTTTCCGACTCCCGCTCTTACCGCTCCGACTCCAGCTGTTTCTGAGCGGCAAACCCTTATCGGCGCCCCGGCGCCCACCCGCCGCACCCCTCGTAGGTGCCTCGGCGCGGGCTCTGTCTGTCTGTCTGTCTGTCTGTCTGTCTGTCTGTCTGTCTGTCTGTCCGTCCCGCACGCACCACGGTGCCACCGGCGCGGGCGACCTTTACCATCGGAGCCCCCGGGGAGGCGGGGGCGGGCCGCCAGGGCCGCAGGGGGGCACAAGCGCACCCGCGGAGTCCCTGGGGGCCCCGTCCCTCTCCCTCCTCCTCTTCCTTCTCCTCCTCGTCCTCCTCCTATTCCTTGGAAGCTACTGGCGCTCCTCTTACTCTTCCTCTTCCTCCTCCTCCTCCTCCTCCTCCTCCTCTTCGTCCTCCTTATCCTCCTCCTCCTTCTCCTCCTCCTCCTCCTCCTCCTCCTTTATCTCCTCTTTTCTTCCTCCTCCTCCTCCTCCTCCTCCTCCTCCCCTGTCCCTCTCCCTCTGTCTCTCTCTCCGCAGCCCCGCGCCACACGTTGGGCGTGCCGGTGGCCGAGGAGCTCGTTCGGCGTGTGGCGTGGGGGGCGGGGGGGGCGCCGCCATCCGGCCCCCTGCCCGAGCGGGCTCTCCCGCACTCCCTGGAGGGGCATGCACCGCTAGGGTGCAACGGTGGGGGGGGGGAGGCTCAGGGTTAAGGCGGGCATGTCCTTCTACAGGAGGAATACCCCCGAACAGTAAAGAAATAGTTTTGGGACGATGTTTGACTACTCTTTTGTTTTCCTGTTGCAATTTTTCCCATCTGTCCTCCACATTCCGCCTGTAGGAGGACATGCCCGACCTAAGCTTAGGGGGGGATGCGTCGACCTTTCGCCAGTGCGTCGCCGACACGGGCATCCTGACAGCTCACCCTGGCCCAGGAGCGTGCGGTCTCGCCGTCGGGGGGCCTAGCGCCGATCTGTGGGCGATGCATCGCCGATGCCAGGCCGATGTTTCCCTGCTGAGCAGGTCTCCCCCTCACTCACACACACACACACGCACACGCACACACACGCACACACACGCTCACACACACACGCACACGCACACGCACACGCACACGCACACGCACACA